ATATTGCTCTGCAATGCAATACTGAGCTTTAAAAAAATGTAGAACTCTGGAACAAAAATAATATAATGGCATTTTTTTAATAAGAAAAGAAATGCAGTTTTTATGCATCCTGTACTTTGTAAAACTTCAATCATAATGAGAAGGAAATGTACAAGTGACACTGAGGTGCCATAACAATGATGTATAATCATTGCTGAAAAAAACAGACTTGCTGTCAAAGTTTTTCATCTTGCACTCATCAGGACAAAATCACAAGAATACCACATCGCAAAGGGAACAACAATTTATACCGTAGGAGAAGAGGGTACTGATTGGTTGGCATGGCCATGATGAATCCACCAGGGAAAAGCAGACCCCCTTATTTTGTTTAATAGGGCAAGGCTCAATGCGCCTTTCTGTTTGCAAAGCACAAAGCCTTACCTTGTGAATACATGTACCTTTGAGCACTCGTAAAGTGTGTCTCACCCCAACTAATAATCTTAAACTGGTTGTTAGTAGAATTCTTAGCAACAATCAGGATTGGTGAGCAAGTATTGTCCGAACTCGGAATCACATCTAAAGTTGGACACTATGTTCTAATTTTCTCAAGTGCTGTCTTTTAAGTATGGTTATGTCTTCCTGTTGCAAACAGCCAAAGGGGTTTGATGTTTGATAAAATTAGCAATTGGAGAATCTCAGTGGGACCATAAAGGGCAGGTTCTGACTGACGAAAAGCAAATTTGGAGCTGATATCAATCTTTACACAAACATATAGAATAGATGTCTGTGTAAGTCAGAGAAGGGAATTCTTGCAATCACTTAAGTATGTAGTTGGATAAGGGGTAGAGGGAGGAGAGGGTAAAGATTGAGGCTAAAAAGGTTGAGTTCTGAAGAAGGGTCACTGGACACAAAACGTTAACTCTGTTTTTTTTCTCCACAGATGCTGCCAGACCTGCTGAGTTTCCCCAGCAATTTGTTTGTCTGTGGGATTTTGCTTTTATTGGAAAGAGAGGCTTCCTGGTCTAATAATCCGCCATCCTGGGTAAAATGAACCTGCCAGCTTGGGAGTGCCATCCTTCAATCACACTTTGCCTCCAGCCCTCCTGTGATATCGGTCACTCTGTTGGGAATGGGTGGAGTTCTGTTCCAAACCAGAAACTCTGGTCAGGAAGGCCAGAATCCAACTTAACTGGACTTATGACCATTGTGTTTTTTACTGATTACTTACACCAAAAGGAATAGGATGAAAGTGAAATTTTGACTTTATTTTTCAAATTTAACCCAGACTCTCACAACGAAACAAATAATAAATTTTATTCTGGTGCTCTTTTTCAGTATCCACGTATACCCTTCTATGTGACGTCCCTTTACTCCCAGGTCACAGTGGAGATATTGTGGACAGGGGAACTGACTGTATCATTCTTGTGGCTTTCCCAAATGAGAATTGATTGTAGAATGATTTTGAGCAGTTTACAAACCAGAACCCCCCTCCCCTTTATGTGCTGCAAACTGGAGTTAAAGGCTAGCTTGAACACATGCTAGTCTCTCATATTTTCCAACTGCTGTGCAGGGTGTGGAACCATTCAATGCTGCGCCCACTTAAAGATACAAACCACATGAAGAATATGGAGCAATGATTGTAGTTCCCATGTTGACATTTGCTGGTTATCAAATTTCACAGCCAAAATTTACTTGGCTATACAAATATTGACTGGGAGAAATTTGACTTTATTTGTACTGTCTGATATTGTACAAAGGCTAAATGCATTCTTATTAAATTTATTTCATTCACTTTTTTTATTCATTTCCGGGATATGGATGTCACTGGCTGGGCCCAGCATTTATTGCTCCGTCCCTAGTTGCCCCTTGAGAAGGTGAGGGTGAGCTGCCTTCTTGAACCGCTGCAGTCTACGTGCTGTGGGTTGACCCACAGTGCCCTTAGGGAGGGAATTCCAGGATTCTGACCCAGTGACAGTGAAGGAACAGGGATATATTTCCAAGTCTGGATGTTGAGTAGCTTGGAAGGGAATTTGAAGGTGATGGTGTTCCCATGTATCTGCTGCTCATTTTAATAGTACATTAACCCATTTAAAATAAACAGGGTAATTCCTTTAAAATGCCCTTTCAGAAGATGGTGGTGAGCTGCCTTCTTGAACCGCTGCAGACCATGTGCTGTAGGTAGACCCACAATGCTGTTAGGGATTTTGACCCAGGGACATGGAAGGAATGGCAATGTATTTCCAGGGTGGTGAATGGCTTGGAGGGGAACCTGCAAGTGGTATGGTGTTCCTGTTGAACCAGGGTTGATCCCCTGGCTTGATGATAAAGGTAGAGTGGAGAATACACTAGGACATAAGGTTACAGATTGCTATTGAATCCAATTGTGCTGATGGCCCATAGCAGCTCATGATGGCCCAATTATTAGTTGCTAGATCTGTTGAAAATCTATCCCATTTATCATGGTGGTAGTACCACATAAAATGCTGAAGGGCATCCTCAGCGTGAAGACAGGACTTTGTCGTAACAAGGGCTGTACAGTAATGACTCCTACTTATACTGTCGTGGGCAGATGCATCTGCAACAGGTAGATTGGTGAGGACAATGTCCAGTTGGTTTTCCCTTTTGCCACTGGCATTTTATTGCCTGTCTCCAGTACCGAGTTATCAGTCAAGGGGGCAATGGCATGGTGGACAGGAATCAGTTGGAGATTTCCTTTTCCGTGTTTGACCCAACACTTCATGAGGTTCCGAGTCAATGTTGAGGACTCTCAGAGCAATTCTCTCCCAACTGTAAACCACTGCGCCACCACCTCTGCTGGGTCTGTCCTGCCGGTGGGACAGGACACAGCCAGGGATGGTGATGGTGGTATCTGGGACATAGTCATACTCACTGAATCATACTGTTATTAGAGATAGTAGGAACTGCAGATGCTGGAGAATCCGAGACAACAAGGT